TATTTGTATTTCCTTGAGGTATAGTTCGATGAGCCAAGCCAAATCATTCAAAACAATGAGGTTTAATTGGTGGAGGGGCTTCCCAATAAGGCTTTGGTACATAACCTGCATGATTTTGTTCTCCCTATTGTCCTCACGGTGCTTCTTCAATTGGTCGGTTGCCTAGGTGATCCTCTGGTGCAAGAAACTCTCTTAATTCACCATTTTCTTGCTTCGTTCCTTCTCAGGCATCATTTTGAAGTCGGCCAATAGGCGTTGGGCTAGGAAAGGGGAAGACCAAACCTCTGGTTGCCAGTCGTAGGGGATGTAAATGAGTTCACAGGCTTTGACTTTGCAGAGTATACTGAGTTCACTCACTTTCTTCATCAACTCTTCTTCCTTTTCTTGAAAGTAGCTTTTCTGGCAAAGTTGTTAGTGATATAGGAAAGTTTATCCTTCTTTTTAGTCATGGTGTTTGGTCATGTCTGGCCAAAGAGCGAGATGGTACATATATAGAATGCGACAAGGGTTGAAGATTTATTAGTAATGGATGTGAAGTGGAACATTAAATATACCATGTAAGGTTAGATTAAAACTGGAAATGGAGTGCCCAAATCATCTCTAGAAATGCTATATTTTTAATAGCACATATGGAAAGATCTTATGATTAAAGGTAGTGTAATTTACAAAATTTAATTAGTGAATTTTTGCAAGGCTGCGCTTTTAATAAACCATTCAAATACAACTATCTTTTTTAATTAAAAGTTAATGCTTCATTATAATGCATGTATATATCTACTCTCTCTTATATATGTAGGTGTGTTTAAAAAATGAATTGAACCAGAAGATTGCTAGAATACTTAATTAATTTTCCTTGTATATGGGGGGTTATTTAAAAAGAGAGAGAGAGAAGAAAAAAAAACTTGAAATTAGTTGTCTTAAGGGAATAAAACATGGCAACGAAATAAAAGATTGATATTGCTTATAATTACACTATTAGAATTGCATATAAATAGGTCACCCATCCTTTGTACTAAGCATCCCATTTTTATCATATAGAATATTGATATTGCTTTTCGCAAATTTCCAATATAGTCCTCCAATTAAGATAGTTTGCATTTCAATCGTAAAAGCCTTTGTTTTGGTCCCAACAATATTTGCACTTTTAGTTGCTTTTTTCTTTTTAGTGCACATATAGCCAAAAATATATATAGAAAATGCTGGGGCTTATATACATGTAATCACAACAAAACACTCACTCTAATTCTCACAATCTATAAGTTGTTTATCATCACATTTACACGTGCAAGAAGTTGTTTTAGATGTGTAGTGTGGACTATTTTATGGTTGTTTATGCCACTTTTTATATGATGCTTTTCTTTTATACTCTAAGGTCTCATGTATTTTAGATGATGCTAGTGGTTGGTTTTGGTGTATAAGCATACCTTATGGCTAGTTTGTAAATCTGCATGTTATTGTTAAGACCTATATTACTTTTTTAAAAAAATATTAATTCTAAAAACTGAAAATAAAATTTAGAATTTAAATCTCTATAGTGATAATTCATACATTTCATTTATTAATTAGTACGATCTCCTAAAGATAATATATGAGAACGTACAATTTCAATTAAAAAACTTTATAAAGAGAGGAAATACTATACATATTATTAAGGAATGATTATTGTAATTTAATTTTACAATATAATAATAAAAGTAATATATATGATTACTTATGTATTGACTTATGTAGTAGCCAAAAAACTCCTAAAGAAATCAACGATATATTTCTTGCAAAGTTTATGCGGTAATAATATATAAGTGTTGTCTCCCTTTAGTAAAAAAAATGATACTAGTATGGTATTAAAATATGCGCCTTCTGAACCTCGACAATCCATATTTGCTTTTAAGATAATTAACTTTTTTAAAAAAAAATTGAAATAAAATTTATCAATAGTAATTAACCACTACAAATATAACAAGAAGTACCGTCAATAATACATCCGACAACTGCAATAGAGATTGAGAAAACAAGAAGAAGGCAAAGTCATGTTCAAAAAACAATTAGAAGGAAACAATCTGTCCTCCATTACTGATTCTAACCTTTAAGATAATTACGATATGCTAGAGATTGCATGCTGGTGTAATATAAATAACAAAAAATAGTTAAAGATTATATATATGTGTGTATACGTATGAAGCAATACTTATTCTACTTGTTATTTAGACAACATTGCTATTATATCACAATAATATGTCATATTTAGCAAATTAAACAAGATATTGTCCAAACTACTTAAATAAGCTAGTTGCAAGTGTACACATATACTTCCCATCAACACTCTGAATTAGTAATATATATGTTACTATAATTTTTTTATCTTTTAAAATATAGGGAACAAAGATAGATTAATCTATATATCTCTAAGTTAGTAGAACCCGAAATAAATCCAACAAAATAATTAAACAAATTTATAATTTTAGCGTATTTTTCCAGATACATGCATAATATTCATATTAATAAAAATATTAATTATTTGAGATATTACGATTAGATCGAGATCTTCAGTGAGGAAAATATTATTCCTTAATGCCATTATCCTAAATTTTAATTTAAAGATTGGAAGAGCATATCCATATGTATTAAATTCTATACAAAAATCTCATTTGAAATCTAGATAAATTTGAGTAGCTAGCTAGCTTAATCTTCCTCCTAACTAGACTGAATTTCTACATATACTACATCAATAATTCTTATGTCATCACTCCATTATGTAAAACAAAACAGAAAGAAAAGAAGAGAAAAGTGCATTATAATTGCTTAAAATTACATTGAGCATGCAGGTATTTTAATAAATAGTTGTAGCCATGTCAAGAAGGGGGAAGAGAAAAATTAAAGAATGAATAGTAGTACTAGTACAAGATATAAAATATTAAAGAGAAGATTAATTTGAAGAAAATCATAATTCAAAGTAATCCAAGTACATGTATGCATGCGACTCGACGACTACAACTATGATGGTGACAGCTACAACTATTATGATGACTACAACTATTAAGGCGACTACTACGATGAAACTGACAATATATCTTTGTGATGGAATGTAATTGGTTATTTAAAGTACATCTCCAACAACACTCCAAAAAATTTAAAATTAAATATCATAATACTCGATTCCTAAGGGAAGTTAAACCCACTAGACCATATCAGTCCATTATTCTGGTTGTTCTTATGGGTGAATGGCACCATCATCTCCGCTTATTCCCCGTCTGCTCCAGATTGTTGGTGATGTGCTTGCGGGTTCATCCCATCAATGAACCACATCTATAGCTGCTGCAACATCTGCACCGGATGATCCTCCGTGATCTTAGTGAATGTCTCCTTAGGACCCTTCATCACTCCTGCGTCTGTGGCCTCCTGAGGCTGAGGTGACTTCCAGAGTGTTCCAATACTCTTTTGGATTTCTTTGAAGTATTGTTCAATGAGCCAACCCAAATTTTTGAGATTAATAAGGTTGAGTTGGTGGAGGGGCTTCCCGATAAGACTTTGGAATATGATATACGTGATCTCTTTCTCGCGATTGTCCTTGCACTGTTTCTTCAGTTGATCAGTTGCCTTAGCGATCTTTTGGCACAAGAAACTCTCTTGATTCACCATTTTCTTGCTTTGCTCCATCTCGGGCAACCTCTTAAAATCAGAAAGTACGCATTGGGCCCCGAAAGGGGAAGGCCAAACCTCTTGTTTTGAGTCATAGGGGCTGTAAATTATTGCACAGGCTTTGACATCGAAGAGAGTGCTGAGTTCACTCACTTTTTTCATCAATCCCTTATTTCTTTGTTTGAACATGGCTTTTCTTGCAGAGTCGTTAGTGATATAAGCGAGCTTAACGTTCTTTTTAGTCATGGTGTTTTGTCGTGTCTATCCAAGGAGCAAGAGAGTGTATATATAGAATGAGACAAACATTGAATAGTTATTAGTAAGGAATGGGGAGTGGAGCATTTTAATATAGTAGAATATACAATGTAAGGTAAGATGTGGTGCATTTTAAAATTGCAAGTGAAATGTTCAAATTATCTCCAAAAATGTTATGCCTTTAATAGGGGATATGGGAAAATCTTGTCATTTAAGGAGTGTAATTCACAAAATTTAATTAGTAAAATATTGAAAGGCTGCACTTATCTAAAATCATCCAATCCTCCCTTTTAATTACAAGTTATTGATTCATTGTAATGCACTTATATACCTACTCTCTCTTGCATTATCCTAGCATGCATTCACACTTGAAATTAATCATACATGGCAACCATACACACCTCCTTATCTTACACACACTCACAGATATTACTCTTAATCATCAACTAATGTGGCCACCTCCTCCCAAATCAAACTTAATTATGTGTCTTGATCTCCTACACCTTCCACCATTTTATTTTTTACTTTTTTAAAAAAGAAACAAAAACCATAGATATATTGTTTTTTATTTGCTTTTATGCATTAATGTCAATATTCATTTTTTTCTAATTCGCAAAAATAAATTTTATTTATAAGAAAAATATGTGATCATCCTTAAAATCAATGCTGGTTTTCTTCATCTTTTAATTTCTTCTGCAAACTTTACACTCCAAAACTTTATTGTTACCAAAGAAAATTTAATTACACATGCACAAGATTTCATAATAATTATACATATAATGTAGGCACATGGTGATTTTTTCTGAACTCCATAATAATTAATTATTTCATTTGGTATGTAGTACATAGAATATGATTATTAGAGCAATTATATATTTGATTTTATCTTTATGGAATACTGTAACACCCAAATTTTATTATTTTTATTTTTTAATTTATTTTAATTTATATTAGAATTTTAGTTTAATTTTTCAATATTTAATTTATAAGGTTTTAATTTAATTTAATTTAATTTAATAAAAATAAAAATAATAAACTATTCATTCACTTAATTTCAAAAAAGCCGTATCTTGCTTAGACCAATAAATAGAGCTGAGGTTATAGTTAAAGCTACTAGTAGAAAACCGAAATAACTAGCTATAGTAGGCATGAAGGGGCTAAATGACCTCCTTACACAACTTTCTCTTCAGTGTGGTGAATTGATAAGCTAAGTAAGAAATAAATTTAAAAAATATCAACAGTCTTGACATTAAAACTATTAAAGATGATTTCACTTATAGTTAAACTCAACTTCAAGCTTAGAGACTTCAATAACTTGGTGAATTAATAAACCTAAGTAAGTAAAGAATCTCGAAAGCATCCACACTTAATTGGATCCAGACCTTCAGAAGACAAGTATTGGTGATTTTGGTGAGTAATAGAGCTTTTATGATAGCTTTACCTAGGATTTTGGCCTAGTGGTGAATCAGGAGATGATAGTTGCTAAGGAGTGAGGAGTATCAAATTGAATAGGAGGATTTTTGTTTAGTTTTGACTATTTCTTTAACCCTCTGGATGGGTTTACGATGCTGTAACATTGGTTCTAATTAGTTAATGAACGAGGCTATTTAGTGTGTATGCATAGGTACCATTAGAACTCATACAATGCTAGTTTACACTAATTCTACTATTTGTATTGAATCACTGTTAAGTTACACATGATGCTCAATTTGACACTTTTCAAGTTTTTACTTTTTCTTATAGGAGACAATTAAAGCTAATATAGAGGGTAAATTAATGAGCATGTTGAATATGGTCATTTTCTTTGATTTCTAACTTATACCTAAGAGAATGAGTAGATATTTAGAGTTGTCTATGGTTATAACAGGTTCACTGAGCTGGTGAATTAACGTGGCATCAAGCTTGCATCAAGGATCTAATACATGGAGTTTTTTCTTTGAAGAAAAGAAAATGAAGGGGATTGGTGGTAGTTATGGCTATAGGAGGATTATGAAAATTATCAGTGTATATATTTAACTTTTCTTGTCTACTTGTACAAGATCTTAATATAGATATAGAGAATGAAATGTAATATGTTCTTGCATGTGTATATGTGTATTGTTAATTTTGATTTGCGGGCCTTGTGAAGATCGAAGAAGATACTAGGTAGTTCTTTGGTTACTTTAAAACTTGTTGTGACTTGGGAACTGATTATTATTGTGTCCATATTAGAAGAGTATAAAAAAAATACAAGATTACATATGAAATTTTTGCAAATCATTATAATTAGCTAGAGAGCAAGTCTTATATATATATATATGCATAAAGAGAGTCAAAAGAAAAGATGCGCATATATGATTGTCGTACGATGATGGTAATCGAGGAAGTGCTTATGAATCCGGTTCCTTGCGTGCGGCAAATTTATTGTATATATAAAAATAAATATTTCTGTAACTTGTTCATCAGATTGTGGGCTTGAGTTCCAAATCCACATTATCAATTCAAAAATGAATCTCCCTAAAAGTTGAGTTCGGCAGGCGGTAAAAAAGGAGAGCAATTATATATGAAGGTATATATATATATATATATTACACTTTTTTGAATGTTGAATACTGGATGCAGAATCTTTTATTTAAATCATTAATTGTATATAGAAGAAAATATATACACACACAAAATATTTTAGTGCATCAAACCATATGTATAGTATACAATTAGAAATAATTTATTCCCATATCTATATTGAAGGAAACTAGGTTACTATGCCAAAGGATTCATTAAATAATTAGGGAGCTAATTAGTTTAATTATAATAATTTTTTTTTAATTGATCTATATGTAAATTAATTATATATATATGTTACATAATTCATTATAATTTCAATATATATGATTATATAATTCACAAAGAAAAAAATTAATTATATGACATGATACAACAAGACCATCAAAAGTTGTGTTTTTCTAGTTGATATTTTTCTTTCTATTGATATTTACCTATACATCATAAAAATTTAGATGCTCACCCTTCAATACGCATATACAAACATCTCAATATATATTTACCTACCTCAACATGTATTCCTTCTATCGCTACCTTATATATTACATGTATATATATATATATGTATATATCAATTCGATCAGACAATAAACATCTGGCCCATACTTGGTTTATAGTTAATTTGCTCGACATGCAAACTTTAATTTGTAAGATTTCAAAATTTTCCATGCAAAATATAATTACTAATTACACTCCAACAGTATTCTAATACCATAAAAACTTAGTTATGATATATATACATAGATATATATTGCGATTAATATTTGTTCTTGTGTTGTGAAATATATACGCCAATTTAGTTGAATAAAAATCATATAAACAATATAATGATCAAACTAGTAAAAGTAGAGAAAAGACATGAGAGGGTAAAAACCAGTATATTTTAGAAATTTAGCATTAAAAATATTTTTATTTAGATTTGATAGAGTAATAACGAGGACTCAAAGTACAAAACAAGAGATAATTCTAATTTAATCAAATACATTTGTCACATTTATCATAAATACAAACATTAACAGATTCAAAAAAAACATTTTAATGTCACAAAATCCCCTATTAATTTACAAAGTAATGGTATATTAATCTGTTGTATTTTTTTAAGTTCAACAATTAGTTCAACAACTTTCTAACTAATACCATTGACTTTTAAAAGTATAAATTTAAATTATTATTAGTATGTAACATGAACTCTGATTTAGAAAAAAATATATATCTATGGTTTTTGTATTCTTTTAAAAAAAGAATTAAAAAATAAAATGGCGGTAACTGTATGACATCAAGACATACAATTTAGTTGGATTAGAAGGTGATGACCATATTAATTGATGGTTAAGATATAATATTTGTGAGTGTGGTTGCCATGTATAATTGACTTCAAGTGTGAATGCATGCTGGGAATAATGTAGAGAGAGTAGGTAGATGCGTGCATTACAGTGAAGCAATAGCTTTTAATTAAAAGAGATGGCCACAATAGAATAATTTTATATAAGTACAGCCTTGCAACAATTTACTGATTATATTTTTTTAATTACATTACCTTAAATCAAAAGATTTTTCCATATCCCCTATTAAAGACATAATATTTTTGGAGATAATTTGGACATTCCACTTGCAGTTTTAGAATACACCACATCTTACCTTATGTAACGGCCCCAGAAATTTAAAAGGAAATGCATATAATAATTTGAGTGCGGAAGTGAAATAAAGGTTAAGGTTAACATCCCTTACACGATAACTTAAAAGTACTAAACATCTACTAGCAGCCTTCTTGCGGATCGGGCTCGGGCTCGAGAACTAGGTCCTCCTGATCTGAAATGGTTAAATAAGGGGTGAGTTACACTAGCCCAGTAAGGACATCACACTATAGTGCCGGCACAGAAGCAAAGGTTGGTAGAAAATAAAAAACAACCAATGGAGCACTAAATTTTAAACCAATACATTCATTAAAAGTAAAACCATTTACTCTTTTTTTTACCATTGGGGAATCTGTGAAAACAACCTATAAAGACAATAACATCATACAGATCATAACTTCATGCACAATCAGTAACATAGGACATATCATAAATTCATATTCATTAACAATAACTAATCATCACCATTTCTCGTTTCACCAGCCTACTAGTATCCATGGGGATCCATAGGGGGTGTCTCCGCTACACGTGAACTCTTTCCCTTAACAATCTCAATTCCAGGGCCGTCTCCATACCCCGTTCGATATGAGCGCCAAGACATTAAACCTCAATACCCCATCCGGTATGAGGGTGAAGTCGGCCATCCCCATACCCCGTCCGGTATGAGACAACGTTCACAGTAGGGTTCCCATTGAACTCGGTCCGTCCACCATCTCCCAGGATATCTAGTGAGACTGTCACCTTATCTGTTTATTAGATCACATCTCCTTCTTGTTTCTCCTTAATCTCCGTTACCAAATTAAACATAATCACATA